CCATAAAAACACACCGTCTACTTCGTTCCCCAAACTTATCTTTATCCCGCAAAACATTACGAGCAAAGCATAAGCTACCAAAGACTCGTAAGTGAGTGATATTAGGTACTTCCCCAAACAACAGCTGATAGGGTGTCTTTCCTTGCAAAACAGTGGATGGAGTTCGATTAATCAAAATGACATGCAGTCATAACACACTCACCCCAAAACTGACGTGGTAAGGTAGCTTGAAACATCAACAATCTAGCAACATTAAATATATGTCTATGCTTTCTCTCCACTCTACCATTTTGTTGAGGAGTATAGACACACGACGTTTGATGCAGGATTCCCTCTTCTAGGAAGTACGATCGCAAACCCATAAATTCCCCGCCATTATCACTACATACTACTTTCACCTTCTTCTCAAACTGTCGTTCCACCATTTTGAAAAAATTCTTAAGAGTTACACCGACTTCACTCTTTTCCCGTAACAGGTGCACCCAAACCGCTCTCGAATAATCATCTACTATTGTCAGAAAATACGCAGCACCCGAAGTAGATACTATGCGATACGGACCCCAGAGATCACAATGAATCAAATCAAAAATTCCAGCAGCTTTATTAGAACTTTTATGAAAACAATCCCGGGTTTGTTTAGCCCGTAAACAAATATCACAAACTGTTGTGGAACTAACTTGCTTTCCAATATCTAAATAACTCGACAAATAGGGAACAACATGACTAGACGGATGACCAAGACGACGATGCCATAAATCCCATGATCCTGAACTGCTCACAGTCTTGTGTATCTTCGCACCAATCACCCCTCGAAGCACGTACACGTCCCCACACTCTTCACCAACCCCAATCAGCGTCTTCATAGCCCGGTCCTGTATAACACACAACTCATCAGTGAATGTAATAGAACCCTTAACCACTTTCAACAACTTGCAACCGAAATTAAGGAGCATGTAAAATCCTTAGAGTACAAAACTCCTTGTAGCCACAAATCACCCCCGAGACATATATCACCATGTTGGGTGGACACGCACATGATCACCATCCGGTAGACCGATCATACATGGATTGGTATTCATCACATTAGACAAATAGTCTAAATTACCAGTCATGTGGTGTGATGCTCCTGTATCAATAATAAAATCAACACATTCTTTCTTACCATTCAGTTTCTCATTAGGATTTGACTTTAGAGAAGCAAAGAGACCCTTGAGAGCATTCCATTGATCATCACTCATTTGTGGTAGAGATTGACGATCCAAATCAGCCGGTGTTCTTGTTGAATTAGCTTGTATTCCCCCAACAATATTTGCCTGAACACCCGTGACCGCGTTAGCCCTACCACCGGACCCGCGACCACGTCCAAACCGGCCACCACGTCCACGTCCACCTCTACCGCGATCATTGTAGTCACGACCTCGTTCTCCCCACCATTCAGGAAGGCCAATTATCTGAAAGCAATCAGCCTTTGCATGCCCATACTTACCACAATGAGTACATGTCACGTCCTTCTCGCGATAAAAATTGGAAGTTTGACCCCGTTGTGCAGCCTGGACCGCAAACCCCACAGCCTCCGGAGTGGCATCACGATTCCTAGTAATCGTGAGTTGTCTCTCTTCTCGAATGATCCTTTGATAGACTTGTGAGAGCTTGGGTAGTGGTTCCATACTTGTGATAGTAGAACGCACCGTACCAAACTTCGCAGAATCTAAACCATTCAAGAAGGTATTGGTTCTCTCTTCATTACGGTCTTCTTCCAACTGAGCAGCCAGTTCTCCACAACTACATGATCGAATAGGCTTGTAAATTGCCAATTCATCCCACATCTTCTTAAGTCTCCCATAGTACACCATTACCGTATCTCCGTTTTGCCTACAGTTTGCTATATCAGCCCGAAGCTCACTGATTCTTGGCCCGTTTCCCGCAGAGAATTGAAGCTTCAAATCTTCCCACAACGCTTGAGCTTCATCCACCATAGAAATCGATGTCCTGAGAGTCGGCTCAATCGTGTTCATAATCCAAGCGATTAACATAGAATTAACCACTTCCCACTGTTCAATCTCATCATCCTTGGTAGGTTTCTCCAAGGTCCCATCAATAAACCCCAATTTCCGTTTCGTTCGCAAGGCGTTCCGCACATGCTTAGCCCAATCTTCATAGTTTTCTCCCTTCAATTGAACAGTAGTGATCACATTACCCGGTCCATCCGAAGGATGGAGATACAGTGGCGAAGCCCTAGCTTTCTCCGCCACCGTGAGCCCACTGCCGCTGCCGCCTTCCGCAGTCTTCGCCGGCCCGAGCTCTTTCCCAACACTGTTCTCACCGTCGGCCATAATCTCTTCTCTTTCTCCCTTTGTTTGATCTTCTTCTTAAAACCCTAGCTCTGATACCATGCCAAAGGGAAAAGAGAATAAAGAGAAAAGTTGTGTTCTATTGACATTGAGAAAAGGTATATATACATCCTACACATGAAACCCTAAACATACTTAGGAAAATTAACATATTAGCCTAAGTATAATATATTTACATTATAGGTCCCTAATAAAATCTTTGTTGTCCATGGTTTCGACGGAGAGATCGCCAGAGAATTTTGTGACTTTTTCTCTTTTGGAGAAACAAGATATTTAGCACACAAAACAAAAAAAACAGCTTGGCTTTTTATTATCAGCGGATTATACGCTACTAGGTTTAGATCCGTTTTCAGCCGTTGGATCTCAATGTTAACTAACGGTTAGATCTGATCTGCGAACACAAGATTTGATTTTACCATTTTTTTTTTCTTTCCTTCTAAAATTTTTTATTAGACAATTGATATTACAATAGCATATACAAAGTTATTACAAAACTTCATAAAACAATCTATTACATAAGCAAAATTATGTGGCGCCACATACTGAAGATGGTGAAAAAAAAAATGAATTTGACGATGCTTCCTTTCGATAAGCCTTCCTCGCTAACATGTTTAAAAACATGTTATGTTCCTTCTTCATAAGCTATCTTACTCGAATGTTATATGTATGCCATATTGACATTCTTTGTTTAAACTCCACATCACATACCAAAAGCATGTTGCTCCTGGAATAAGTTTTGAAACCCGGACAATCCGATACCAATTATTCTGTATCGGTGTCATAGTGCGCATTATAAAGTATAGCTTTGTGCCGGTGTATTCCAATCGTATCATACATCTCAAACCAAAGACGTCGTTGGTGAGCTCTTCACGACAAGTATCTCCGATGAGATTCCGGGATTCCATATGCGTCGAGGGGCGCAAATTTGCATTAAACCCCCATTGGTAACTATTGCTAACAGACCCGACATATCCGGAAAAACACCGTAAATGAACCATATCATCATCACACGGACAATTACGCCTATGTGAAGAAGAAAGAAGACCCTGAGAACGAGAATCGAAGTGACATCGGCTATCGATGTGAGGACAAAACCTTTTCAAGAAGGAGAGAGTGATGTAGTCCTAGAAATATCCATGACTCATCAAGGATTGGTTCAAGGAAAATCAAGATCAAATTATAAAGAAGTTTCTAGAAGACAATCAATTCATGGCTATATCAAGAAAGTGTCTAGATACAAAGAACCAATCTCCATCAACGTTGATTGATAAAATCTCTCAAATTTATTCTTGATTGATTCATGTAATTAATTTGATTTATTTTGTACTTATGTTATTGATTTGTAAATTGAGCCTATATAAGCTCATGTTTCCCTTCATTGTAAATATATAGATTTTTGGAAAAAAAATAAAGAGAGAGCTTCTCACTTTTAAAGCTTAGGCTTTTGTTTTACTTGTTTTTTTTCTATTGTGTGTGATTCCTTTAGAAAACAAGTGAAATCTTTATCTTTGTGTGCGATTCATTTAGATATTGATTTGTGTTCTTATCACAAAGTCATTCCGCAACTTTGTGTGGCGAACTTCGATTCATCCAACTATCCATCTCTATCTCTATCGAATCTGTTGAGAATGACTTTAGTCCAGCGACAGTTTCACCATCTATTCACTTCTATCTTCATCTTCCCTTCCATTCGAATCTGTTGAGAGTGACCTTAGTCCAGCAACAGCTTCTCCATCAATCATCACGCTCGTTCTTATATCACAGACCCAACCATGGATTTGTTAAAAAAGACATCATCATTTCAGATCACCATGTCCTACGCTACCAGACACACCTATCGGCGAAAACCCATCTCTTACTTTACCACACGAAATCAAAGTATGTTTACCTTACACAACTACAACATATAAAATCAAAGATTTGAAGGATAGTGTTAATAAAAATATATATATATAAATAAATTGAAGATAGAAAAGATATGGCGACAAAAACAGCGATTTGGTTACGGTTTATTTATCGATCTTTTTTTCATCTTTTTCGTAACGTTTTCTTTCAAATTTACCGATAAAATAGATCAAATTTTTCAATGTTAAATCTTCTATCCTGATGTGATGTTTCTGTGGCGGTTAAAGAGATCTTCCCTCTATATCATCGCAGATCCGGAAGTCTCTTTCCTTCACAATTAGTTCAAACAATTCTTCTTGCTTTACTCTACCCTTTTAGATTCTACTCAACCCTTTTCAAAATGGCTGATAACTTGCGAATGGTTGTTCAAGACACCAATCATGGGCTGATGATGCACCGACTACTCTTCCTGTGGCAATTATGGCCCAAGAATCGGCGGAGAATCAGTTCATTCTGTTGGGATTACCGGTGATGCCAAGGAGACAAAATTTGTGTTCGATTGTTGCTTCCATGACACGAGTTTGGGGTCAACCGGAACTGATTCATGGATGAATTTTCCAAGGAAACCAATTACAATTCATCTTTCCCTCTCAAGAATCGTTAGAGATGGTTATTCGACGAGGTCCATGAGTTTTCAATGATTGTGTGCTGATACTCCAACGATAACTTAGTTCGTGGAAAACAGCAATTTATAACTCAATGAGGTGACACTAAAGTGGATAAAATGCAGACTGAAACAAAGCCTTAGGAAAAAAAATCAATAACATACTGATAAGAAATCTTAAATGAGTCAAATAACTGTAAAAGAGAAGAAGTCTAGTAGTAGCAAACTAGTTCATGCAGTTTTTCAACTGAGACAAGTCAGGCAAAAGGAGGGTCACAGCAAAACGAAATCAAAGAGACGAAAACCTTGGGCTGCCATTTCCTTCTCGACCTTAACCTGCATCTCACGTAGAGCAGCAGCTTCGTCCTCCATCTCCTTCAATCGTTTCTTCATCTCATCCAACTCCTAGTATCGATTACAACACCAATCAAACATATATACACATGATGACAAAATCAATCGAGCGTCAATCACATTAAGATGAACGAAACAGTAAGAGAGAAAGAGAGAGAGTAGCAGACCTTAACCGCATCATCATCGGCGGCAGCCATATCCAAATCGGGATTGAGAGCCTCCATATCTCCATCCATCTCTCCGACGTCTGGAATTTCTCAACCGTTTGCTTTGTTTTCTTCAGAGAAGAAAGAGAGAAAAAAACGAAAAATAAATTTCTAAAACTACACCAAGTAGACGTCTCTTAAGATGATTTTGTTCCTTACCTAAGAAACGTTCCTTAGTATAAATCAAGCTTTTGCATTTAATTTAATTCATTATTGTGGCTAAGATTTGGCCAGAGCCGGCGCAAGGAACAAGCTACTGAAGCATGTGCTTGTGGCCCCAAAATATATAGTTCTTAATCGGCCCCATATACCTAAAAGTCTCTTTAGTCTAATGGTTTAAGGGTAAGGAAATATTACAAGTATCTCAAGTTCGATTCCTCCGTGTAACACATTTTACTTGTTTTGATTTTTTATCATTTGTTTACAAGATAGTTCGGCCCAAACATAAAATTGGGCTTGTGGCCCCAGTTTTCCTTGCGCCGGCTCTGGATTTGGCTAAGAAACGCCAATAATCATGCTCTAAGTCGAAAGAAGGGAGAAGCTGAGTCGGCAAAGAGAATAAGACATAAAATATCATTGTTTTGTCTACATAGTAAATAAATAATTAAGCCACGGATTAGACATACTTTACCTAATCTCTTTTGTATAATTAATTAAGAGCATTTTTGTAATTCTAAAGTTAAGAGGGAAAAAAGAAAGAAATGAAACTCAGGTAAACACATTTCAGCTTATTATTTATATAGATTAAAAAACAAAATGTAAATGTCAAATCTAGTTTTGGCAGACCAGATCTAAACCGTTCATTAATAAACACTGAGATCCAACGACTGATAGCATGACACAGATCTAAACCTAGTAGCGTATAAGTCGCTGATATGAAAGGCAACACTTTCTTTTTTAACCTTCATTTGGGCACAAAAAAAAACTAACCATTTTCTTATCTTGTTTCTCTCGAAAAACCCTTCTGTTTCAACAACGAAGATAAGAAAAGGTCTTCCATGGAGGAGGAAGACGAAACCATGGAGAAGGAAGGCGAACCCATGAACGAGGTAGACGACATCGAAGGAGGTAAGCTCTCTCTTTCTATCACTTCTTGATCGATAAAAATTTTTTTTGTAAATTTTTTAATTTTTGTCATTTATAGTGATAGTTTATTTATCGTTTTTTTTTTCAGAGTGGTGTAAACCCAAAAACACGATTCGTCGGACTATGGATAAAACAAGGACTGTGGATACAACAAAAACAGTGAAGGTGTTTTTGGACCTCGATACTACAGAAGTACCGGAAGATGATGAGCAAGTAAAAACCCTAAAAGATCAAATTGAAAAAGCCTTACAGACACGTGACCAGACCTTAACTGTTGGTGAAATTTGTTGTTTTGGACTTGACGAACCACCAAATAAAGTGCGTGCTCCTTTTTTGCACAGACTTGGGTACAAGGTCACTTTGAATCCGAGAAGAGTTGAATATTATAAAAAGAAGATTGGTTGCCGTAAGTGTCATTCATACTGATTATAATCTATTTTATTTCTTTCTAATTAATGATTATTTGTCTTTTTTTTTATTTATACATTTTTTTAATTACTAATATATTTATTTTGTTGAAAAGTCATCCCCTGTGCATATTGATAAAATGATGTTCATGTGTGAAAACGTTCTCATTTTTATTATTGAACATTGGAACTATTGTTTATACAAGTTGTGAGTGTAAGTGTAAATGTGAGTGTGATTGTAAATTATGCAAATAGTAAATAAAATGTGCCTACAACTTGCAAACTTTTTATATCAAAAACATTATATTGTTTAGTATCAATTGAAAGTTTGAGACTGTTATTGTATAGATGCATTAAATAGAAATGTAATGAAGCATTCTCTAAGTTGGATTGCAAAATGCAAGCTTGTTGAACCAATACATGTAAAATGCGACATGTTGGAAGACTTTTCAAGCATTTGATAAAGTAATGTTAAAGAAAATGTCAAGTCACTTAATTCCGCCAGTAATGTTCCAAACAATTCCAGTGGCTCTCTCAATCCCAATATCTAACAAAGGTGATTGGATTGCATTTAGCGCAGCATCTCTTGCCCGACTCTTTCCTGCATGATTACAAGTAGCATGAAAGAATCAGCACGTTGCAAACAAAACAAAACTCTCCTCGGATTTCCTCGAGAACAATCTCCCAAACACTCCAATTTCCTCGAGAACAATCTCCCTCACCACCAAACCCTAACTCCACAAACTCTCCTCGGATTCCTCCGTTCGAAGCTCCGTCACCAGCCGCTCTACGCTCATTATGTCTTGGCCGTCTTCAATTGGGCAGCTACGCTCATGATCACGATTCTTTCCTCTGGATGTCGAGACCACTCGCCGCCAGGCACCGGTTTGACGATCTTTATCTTCTTCTCCCCATGTCCTTGTTCCTCAGGTATCTTCTCTTGTCCACAGCTCGAACCTATTTTCCGATCTGCCATTGATGCGTATTGTTAGCGTTTGATACCAAATGTTGGAGTTGTGAATGGATGTGTGAAATCTGGAGATATGGATAAGGCTTTAAGGTTTTACCAGAGGATGGGGAAAGAAAGGGCAAAGCCAGATGTATGCACGTTTAACACCCTCATCAATGGCTACTGCAGGAGCTTTAAGTTTGATTTGGCATTGGATTTGTTCAGGGAGATGAAGGAGCAAGGCTGTGAACCAAATCTGGTTAGCTTCAACACTCTGATTAGAGAGCAGGGGTAAAATCGAGGAAGCCACTTGCAAGATTTCTGGTTGATGGGTTCTGTAGAGAAGGTCAGGTTGACGATGCTCGTGGATTGGTGATTGTTTACCGAGTGAGTTTGAGTATGGTAGTTTTTTAGTTGAAAAACTCTGCGGAGAAAACAAGGCAGATCGAGAAATGGAGATGGTGGAGGAGCTGTGGAAGAAAGGCCAAACCCCATGTTTCATTGCTTGTACTACACTCGTCCAAGGGTTGAGGAAATCAGAAAGAGTAGAGAAAGCATCAGGCTTTATGGAGAAGATGATGAATGCAGGAATCCTTCGCGATACTAGTGTGACATTTAACTTGCTTCTCCGGACCGGGATCTCTGCAATTCTGATCATTCTACTGATGCAAACAGCTTGAGACTTTTGGCATGTAGCAAAGGATTTGAAACCGATGAGACAACATACCATGTTTTTGGTTTCGGGATTCACAAAAGAAGGGAGAAGAAAGGAAAGAGAAGTTATAGTGAACGAGATGTGGGATAAAGATGTGCTGCCTGATATCTTTACATATAATAGATTGATGGATAGCTTGTCCTGCATTGGAAAATTCTGCATTGAAGCGAGTCCGGATGTGTGTTTGATCTGTGTAAACTAGACACAAGCTATATCTATGCATCAACAGGTTTTATTTTGAAGATATGAAATGGAAAACAAGTTGGAGCTGTGCAGCAGAAAACCACAAAATCCAAAAGTAAAATCTGACATTAAAAAACGAGCTAAGAATGAAGCCATGTTGTTGTTGCTCGTCCAGAGCTTGTGAACACTATAAATTTACGTTTCATATTTGACATTGAGATTTTTGTTGGTTGTTCGTGTGCTGATTCTGAAGACAATTCTGACATTGAGATTCCGGAACTGAAGTCGGGCTCATTGAAAGTGAATCAAGAGATATAAGCATTTTTTTTCGGTTGTGTGTTGTTGTTATATGTGTCATGGCTTGATCTTTTTGCCTTGCTCATCAGACACACAAATCAACAAGGGGGAGCTTCACGGAGAGATTTTTATAGGAAAAATTCAAATTCAAAGTGAAGAAAGGGATTTTTGTTCTTTGATCATGTGGCGACCAATGGTTTTATTTGTTGGAAAGAAAGATGGAGTCTCTAAGATGTCACTGAGGAGTTATGAAATTTTCGTTTTTGTGCTAAAGTTTCAAAGATGATGTTCCTCATCCGGTGTGCCTACTTTCTTCTTCGTTTTCTCTGGCTACCGACCTCTGATTTTGCCTCTGAAAGAATGTTTTGTAAACTTGAAAGCGGCGACATCTTTCCAAGGACATAGAGATCACCTTCTGGTGCCTTGTCGTTTGACGCAACAGTTGATCTCAAAGGTTGGCAGCTCGTAGCGTTGTATCATTCCGGATCTGTTTTGGGAAATTAGCCATAACTCTCAAACCATAAACCCAAATCTTGATATCTTTAGGGATTGGGTAATCGTCGACATCCCAGAAGACGCATGTGTAAGAAGCTTCACGCAACAACAACAAAAAGAGAGAGAATTACGAAAACGGAAAAAGGCTTAAACAAATTGAGATAGAATAAAATTCAATATACATGAGATGAGAGATCGATTAGATTGCATAACTGAGATGGATCTATGCAAAGTTAACTGATTACTGAAAAACGCATAAGCAAACTGCGAAACCGAGGGAAGTAGATTGCGATAGAATCGGATTCTATAAAATTCAATATAGATAAAGAGATCGATTACAATTGCATAAATATATTCAATATAAATGACACAGATCTGCTAAGTTAACTGATGATTACAGATAGATAAAGAACTTTGCATGGTTTCGACGTAGAGTTGCCAGAGAATTGAGACTTTTCTATTCGATCGGGGA